AGCTTACCGCTATCCCGTTATCTGTAGTTTGGATATCAATTCCGTGTTTAGCTGTTACAATAACCTATATNTGTGACATTTAAGCTAATTTAGTAGGTTATAATTAAGTAAATATGGAAATAGTTAAAAGAATCGATTCATTACACCTTCTATTATTGATATAAAATAATCGATCTGTGATTGTTATAAATGTTAATAACTGACCATGATAGCTACAACTACAGGTGGAAATCCGTAAACAGGATAATTCATAATTGCCATATTAAAGATTGCAACAGCTCCTGCAACTGATGCGGAGACCAACATACCGACATTCATAGTATCAATATCTGACGATTTAGTAAGTTTTGGCGCTTTATTTAGGACGTTATCGGTAGCTACGATCGCAACGGAGGATAGGATCAATCCAATGAAGGTAAATAGAGTTTGGCAAAGTGTTAAAATTGTAAAATCGAATCGTTCCCATTTCGTATCTCCCGGTTGGTTAGCATAGCGGACGAGAGTTTGAACCATAGCAATAGTCGATGCAGCACTGATTCCAGCAGTAAAGTTAGTAAAAGTTTTAGTCCAGACACCCTAATTACAAAATAAAACATTCATATTACTAAAACAGACATAAAGTGTATCGTAATAATCTTCCAATGACAGCAAGTTCTTAATTAGGAATAAATCACTACTATTTATTAAAACGGCGATAAAATACATGATAATGTTCTTTCGACGCTAGTAAAGTTACGCTCACCAAATCAACAACTTGTTTTTTGTGAGCAATGAGGCCTAGAATTCCAGTAGCGAAAAGCTAAAATTGAAACATAAAATGTCAAAGACAGCTTTTATTAGTTTGTGTAAGCGATGTAAGTTTTTACACTACTTTGGCTGATAACTTGTAATTATTTTAAATTGGAGAAAATACAAGAAACAAGCTGGCAAGAAACTGAAATTATCCACTTATCAAGATAAAACTTACCATAATAGCATGGAAATTAGCCGTGACAACGTGATATAGATACCACCGTTCCATAAATATAGCAACAGATAGCCCAAAAATAGCTAGACTAGTTACTATCATCGCCCAGAAAAGTACCGCTTTATTGAATGGAGTTTGAACTAGCGAATATTCATTATCGTCAGAATAGATACGACGATTTTGCTTAACAGCCACATAGATAGAAATAGCTGCTACGGAAACAAAGCCCGCGATAGCGATTGATACTGGTACAAAAAATCCTAACGAAGAATTAACGGCGCTTGAAAAAAAGGCTATGACTAATCTGGCCAATATTGCGGGCGATGCAGCAGATATAATGACAGCTAGAGCAGTAAGACCGGAAGCCTAGACGATTAACGTTAATTTTAAAATAATTATTGGAGTTTTAATCGATTAAGATCGAATATAATATAAAATAGGGTGAAAAATTTGTTGTTAAGAAATTAAAGATTTAATCGAAAGCGATATCGAAATAAATTACCGTACCTGAGTTGTTGAAGTTGTAGCTAGATCGTTTACTTTTAGCAAAGCTGTAGCAAGTGTAAGAGCCTATAGATAAGTTATAATAATCCAAGCTAGTTACTAAAAGTTATTTTGGTTACGTAAGGAGATAGTACTCTTAAGAAGTTTATTCGACTACTCAGAAAAATAAATTAGAAAAGTAGCCGATATTACGTAAGTCGATTCTTCCATTTCGGCTGCAACTATTATGCTATTTTTATATTACATTCCGTAAAGATAAAAATAATCTTAACAAACTAAAGTAAAATTCGACTTACAAGAAGTCCCATCAATCCAAGATCTATCATAAATATATTTTCACAACTCCGCATCATAACTTGGTTGGAAATATAAGTAAATAGACCACCAAAAAGCATAGCTACGGCTCCAACATAGACAATGATACTCAATTTACGTGGATTATACATCTTGAGATTTTTCTATTCCAATTCAAACTAGAAAATAGTTTACGTGTATTTCTTAGATAAAGTTAAAAGTAATTTAAACGATCCAAGATAGTTTTCGACTAATAATATAGATCATCAAAGTTAAGATATTACAGAGAATAACAGCCAAGTTTTTTCTTTTTAGGATGTAAACTCGTTGAAGACAGAAGGCCAATTTAACTGAAATAAGGTTTGTGAAATAAGGTTTGTGAAATTCCAAAACGGTTTCTATTGTTGAATTGCCGTTAACAGTTCCTCTTATATAAGATATAATGCGTCAATAAGCGAAAAATAATTAACTACTCATCAGCTATGCTATTGAACTTTGATCATAGCTTGAACTCTGACTAGACTATAGAGCTACTGTAACAAATGATACTGAATATTTATTAACATTACGTAATGTTTTCAAACTCGGTCCTTAAACTAAAGAACAGTATGAATTTATATTAAGTTTACTCTAGCTGCCAGTAAATATTGTTGCTAGTCTTAGTTATTGTTGCATCTACTAGAACGCTACTTTTAATCTCTTCTATGAAGAAAAGCAACAATTAACTTGATCTTGTAGTGATGTAGGGGATCAAGATAAGCGTGTTATTTCTTGATAGTACATCCATAAGGCGATATTATAAAATATTGATTGGATCATCCTCTAGTGTATAAAAATATAAATAGAAATATTGGTAATAATAAAATATAGTAGGAATTTCTAGTATATTTCTATGTCTTCTATTTTTATCCGTTGATGTGGCTACCTATTTAACCATATATGGAATTTGAATTATGTTTCGATTATTTACAGTAGAAGGTAAGAATCAACAGAAGACAACAGTCTATTGTTTATAATTTGAATGCGATGATATTAGAATAAATTAATTCTTAATAGCGTTCAAAACAGTCCGAAAGAAGATCAGATAGTCATAGACCATGCATACCGAAAATCACATCACAGACGAGGTCAATTCATTGCTTAAATTTAGAATCATATGGAGAAACTATTATTAAATTACTACCTGCTAAAATTGATATAGTATAACTGAAATGGCAATTGTTTAGGCTACAGATAGTTTAGATGAGATCATGTCGGCACTTATTTAGAATATCTAACATCGGGTATTGCTGAGTAGCTGTTAAAGAAATTGTATCAATTTCATACGGTACGTTATCAACATGGTTGTAATGATTTTGTGCTATTGAGATAGGTTGTGATACTGTTGTCAACGTTATGCAGCTAGTAATAACAAATGTAAGTATAGTTATGTTGTTAGTGTAAAAGATCTTCTAGTTTAAGTTCCGTAAGAAACTATAGTAATCGTAGAATTTCGTTCTTACACTGAGTCTAGAAGTTAACAGATGTGGTTAGGTAATTTCTGTTTATGGTCTTCGGGTTGTAAGCATGCTAAAGATTTAAGTAATTAAGGTAACGCAATAGAGTTTGTCTTTTTCGTACTAGAAATTATAGTCTGCAGTTGAAGACTTTCATGAACGAGAATCTAGTAATAAACTGTTTTACTCCGAATCGTTTGGGATTAGAAAGATAAACATTACTTTTATGTAAAAGCTACATCTTTACCTCAAGCAACTACTATTAGTGACGATATTATAGATGTAAAGTTGTTAGCATTTCATGTAAAGGGTATTTGATCGTAATTTTCTATTAATCTAATTGGCATTAGTACCCAATAATTAGTGCCATCTCTCAAGTATAATAATGACGACATGGAAAATGGTTCAAAACTAGTGCCTTTTATATATCATAGCTTGACTGAAAGTCAAACCAAAGCAATTGTAACAAAAAGAAATGTGTAGAAACCAAGCTACAAAAATTCTAACAAACTTTGATTCTACTTTATTTGCACTCTGGTCGACTTAACATATATCTGTGACTGAAAATAAAATTAGGGAAACAACCGATCAACAACTTATTAAGAAAACGTAAAAGAGTCTGATTAATATCTACTTTTAATCCTGTTGTGATATTTTAAATGAATCGACCATTCATCAGACTAATTCAAGACAATAACCACTGTCGTATGTTACAGAATCAAAGTTGGGCAGTTTCGTATAATGCCATTTTCTTTATAACCGGGCTACATTGACGACTAAATTTATGAACTGCTGAAAGAAGACCATGTTCAATCATATCGAGTCAATCGGGTTGCGAAGTAAACCTAGAATCTTATATGATAGTTCAATTTTAAAAATTTGATCGCGCTAAATGAAAGTCGATAAGCATAACTAACATTCGTGGAATTGTTAAGCGCAACAGACTGACAGAAATGTTTCATAAATATAGGAACGATAAAAAATAATGGTAAACCTTTAATTAGAATGCAAAATGATTTTAGAAAAGATTGCTTACTTTAAAAATATCTGGCTTAACAACATCGTAATATTTAATTTAGATTCAGTAGCAATTATGCGTATATTTTCGAATTATCACCCGTATGGTTATTTTAAATGCGAATTTCTTTTGATATTGTTTACGTTCTCTACTTGTAGCTATATATACTTTGATTAGTCAGTACTTTTACAACCTCAAGTAGTAGAAGGTGATTTTAGTATATATTTTAGTAATTCTATTGAATGTTTATATTAAAATTCCAAAGCTTGAATAGATAGCACTAAGTACGTGATTGCTGATATTTGTATCGTGATAATTGAACTAGAAGGGCGAACTATATTTAGATAATGAAGATAAATTTTTATCTGATCTTGCGACTTAATTGCCAAGTTATTGTGGCTAACTTTTTCTTTGTACAGTACTTATAAAATGAACCTAGTTAATATAATAAAGTAAAGTTTACAAGAAACTATAGTATTGCTTTATTATTTTAAGAATCTTTATAATGACAGTTTATCACGAGCAAGTATTTTTGAGAGAGAAAGAGAAAAAAATAAGGTATTAAGCGGTAAGAAGTTTTATTAATATAGTAATGCGCAAGCAAGGAAATCTTATGCTAGAGAAAGACTAAGTACCGTAATCAGTTGATTGTTACCGAAAGTGTTATTTGGCTAAATTTTACTAAAACAGTAGAGGGAGAGGGTTTAAAATCTAAATTTAAAAATTTTTCTCAACACCTATAGAGATTACTTGTAATGCCTAGCGAAGAAAGAATTTTAGCATCAAACTACCGGTAAGAAATAGTTATTGTTCTATCTAGCATAGGTTAAACACTTTTGGAATACATCGATATCATATTATGCAATGATAGTGCTTGCATCGTCTTCATTACATGTGTCTTTTTTATTACAGAAAGCTGCTCGAACACTAAAATAAGCAACTGGTAGTAAACTGAGTATAGCGATAGTAGTAAAAGGGTAAATAAAGGCAGGAATGACGACGAGAAGGCTAGTTTGTGACGGCTTATCAGCTACGAATGCATAAATAGTCATGCCAATTGCCCATACGCTACCAAAGCTATTGAAAACGTAGAAAATATGGTATGGAAATCTCTATATTCCAACAGTAGAATAGCATCCAGTAAGACAATTTATTTTATCTATTCTAGTCATTTAATCGATAGTAGTCCTACAATCCGTCACGTTGCCGACGAACTATACTGTACTAATAGCGCTATTTATAAGTAATTTCGACTTACCAATAGCTCGTTATTAGTAGTTTGTATATCAGTTCCGCGTCTAGACGTTATATAAGCCTGCATTTACAGCATTAAAAGCCAGTTTGGTAGGCTACAGATAAGCTAATACAGAATTAATTAAAGTAATCAATTTATTATACTGTCCTTCCGTGTTAAATTATCGATTATAGTTATCATTTTAATACTAGCGACCTACCATGGTAGAAACGACTAAAGCCGGAAATCCATAAGTAGGATAATTCATAATAGCCATATTAAAGATGCCAACTGCGCCTGCTAGTACTGCGGAGACTAACATACCGACATTAACAGTATCAGTATTCGATGATTTTGAAGGCTGTGGCACTTTATGCAAGATGTCATCCGTAGCCGCGCTAGCAGTAAAGGATAGCATGAATCCAATGAAGTTAAATAGAGCTAGGCAAAGAATTAAAATTGTAAAATCTGGTCTTATTTGCCACTTTGTATAATTCGATTGGCTGGCATAACTGACAAGAAGTTGGACTATAGAAATAGTAGATGCAACACTAATTCCGGTAGTAAAGTCAGCGAGTGTTCTAGTCCAGATATTCTAATTAAAGAATAAATCAGTAATGCTAAAATAGCAATGAAGTAGGCTATTATGTCATAACGATTTTGGATAACAGTAAATATATGCTTACTAGATCGACAGATTGCTTTTTATGAGAAATAAGACCAAGAATTCCGGTACTGAATAGCTACAATTTCATACGCGTATAAAATAACGCATAGAACCTTTATATTGGTTAAGGCAAATGATATGAATTCTACTATAACTGCTAACGATGCAATTTAGGCTATTTAGACTGCTGAAAAAGCAAGAAAATAACTAGTTTGAAAACGAAAATGATCGACTAATAAAATCATAAGCTTAACTCACCATAGCAGCATGAAAGTTGGTTGTGACTACATGAAATAGTTCCCAATTTTCAAAAAGTGAAGGAACGGATAGTCCAAAAATGAACAGGCCGATTATTATCATTATGCAGATAAGTGCTTTTTTATTGAATGAAGTTTGAAGAATCGAATATTCCTTATCGCTAGAATGAACACGACGAGCTTGTTTAACAGCTATATAGAAAGAGATAACTGTTGCGACAACAATGCCAGTAGTGCCGAACGCAGCGGCTACTCTAAATGCCAACTGATCCGTAATGTTGCTTGTGAAAAAGGTCAATACTAATCGGGCTAGTATTATCGGCGACGTAGCAGAAAGAATCACAGCTATAGCAGTAAGACCAGAAGCCTACACGATAACGTAATAGAGATTAAGTTATTTGGCTTAAATCTAATAAAATCAAACATGATTAGAAGGTTTACGGAATATGTAAACACTTTCAAAGAATCATAGAATTGATGTAGGCAATATGGAAAATACCTGAGCTATAGATGTTGTCTTAAAATCGTTGACTTTTAGCAAAGTTGTAGCAAGTGTAAGAGTCTGAAAATTTAAAATATAAATCAATTTTTATAATTCTTCTTCGAGCTTTAGCATTTTAATAAGTATTGTAGTTTTAAGAAATCATGTAGTTTGGTTTTAACTGCTGTAAATTTTACTTAATATCGTAGTATATAACAAACCCGAAGCCAGTATTCGGGTTTGAAGTTAAGAATATTCTATAGCATAATTTTGTTACAAAATATACGAATTAGGTCGTAATTTAAGTGATAAATTTAGTCAGTATAATATGCGTGTTTTAATCAAGATAGAAACTTCTAGCTAATTTTGATTATAAAATACAGTAGAAGTTATACTACAATAGATAATGAACCTCCAATAGCTTCCTCCATCCCTGGAGAAATGTATCTACAGGAATGAAAGCCGATTTGTCCGAGTTTGTAAGTCTGATGGGATATCACAGAAATCAATAATTATTTTGATCAGCTAGCTACGTAGAAGATTGAATTTGACTTCGTAATCCTTGATCGTGCATTTGAACTCATTCTAAAAATAATTAAATGTATTATGAGTTAGTCTAGCTAAATTATAAACCAAAATGCTTTCCAGAAATAAAACCATTGCAATAAGCCCTAGGTTTGTGTAAGGCCTTTGTTTTAGTCGCCAATATAGTTCAAAACTATAACCATATAAGGAATTGATTATACCAGTTAGATACAATAGAACATGAGATCAATAAAGATGTCGGCCCATTATGGATTGAAATGAATGATGTCAGCATAAATCAATTTCTGTTCAAGTTCAAATCATATAAATGGCAACATTACCAGAGAATATACTATAAGCTGCTTCAACGGGATCATAGCGAGGTTTAAATTTAGAATTATTATAAAGCTATGTTTAAATTAATGCACCTCAATATACCAATATAATAAACAATAGCTTATTGTATAGAAAATAAGAGGTTCAATTTAAATAGTAAGCATTATATATATATATTTCTAGCTAATAAGCAAATATCACGTAGTGTTTACGTTAACCGAAATAAGACGTTTTTATCCTATTTACTGCCTACTTTACAAAGAATTGAGCAATGAGGTCAAACTTTGCCCTAAGACAGCTTTAAAACAAAGCCTGGAGTAAGAGTGATGTCAGATTGCTAATTTAGAAAGATATAATCAAATTAGCTAAAACTATACATGATAATTAAAAAAGTTACGAAAAGGTTCTTAAACCTTTGAATTATGGCTGAGCATCATGCGCATGCAAGCTTTAAAAGATTTACTGCTTTATACTCCTATACATGATGCTGAGTCAGATAGAATCACCGATAGTTCAAAATATTGTATCTGAGTTTTAACCCTGGATTTAAGCCACAGAAAGGGAGAAACTGCAGCTAATGTTTGCAAATAAGCAAATAGAGGATTGAATACATGGCATGGAGAATTATAAAAATAACCAGATGATTAATATTTGATACACCATTCTCGTATACTGATTAAAAGTAAAAGCAGAGGAGCTGCAATTGGTATCTGTAGCAAATTAGAGTAAGACCAGTACTGCAGCACAAGCGCTATTAACCAATATTGCGATTATAGTATGATGGTTAAACTCTTGATGTAATCGATAGTTAATTAGTCAAAAATTTATCTTATGTTTTATCAAATAAATAATTAGCTACTACAAACAAGTAAAACACTAATTCCTTAATTAGGTGTCTAAAATAAATTTACTGCCGGATCTTATATGTACTTACGATACATCTTTACTTCAAGCTTTATCTGATTCTCGATTATATTTTATAACCTATCGTCACGATTCTATCTCACGGTAATTAGTAATATTTAATGACATAACTTTATTTAGATTACGAGATAGTTCATACTTTGTACATCTTATGCCGTAATATATGATTGTGATTATTTCACATTAGATTGTATATTGTATCTTGATGATTGTGAAAGGATATATCATAATCTAACTGCCTTGCATTAATCATTAAATATTTATGACTTTAAATATCGCCGTGATAATTAGACATTTAGATATACACAAGTAATTTCATACAAAAATAAATGAATGCTGTCTTACTCGGCAGTCTGCTAACGGCTCATCAGGTTATGGTATTTATTGTTATTATTGAATGAATAATATAGCTACCACTAGTATTGACCTATATTTGGCTGATGAAAAATTGACTTAGCTCATATATAATCAGGGTAATGTAACTGACAGCTCAACTCTTATTGATGGAATGACTATTATTGTATTATTGTTAACTTTAGACGAATAATACCAAATACTGTACAATAAGGTAAAAATATTATTAACAGTTCCCGTAGTTGTATGATCAAGTAACTAAAGCAAATTTTTCAATCTAGATTTAGTCTAAATTGCAAAAGATGCTATATTTTGGGCCTTACTTTGGTAATAGTAGGCTACTTCCTTATTCCAATTCTTGTCTATGTCACAATACATTTGGGTTGCATAGCGGGCAAGGAGTTGAACGGTAGCAAACGTAAAAGCGATACCTATTCCGTTAGTAAAAGTAGTAAAAGTCTTTAGCCACGCGTTCTAAATTTTATGAATTGGCCGTTAGTGCTAAAATAGTGAAATAACACGATATTACTTTAAAAGGGATAGATTATAATGTAGTTAGGCTTACTAATCTAGCAGCTTGCTTTTTATGGGCAACCATACTAAGAATTCCAGTAGCAAAGAGCTGAATATTTAAAATACAGTAAATAATGACTTTAAGTAGCAATTTATAACACAATGAAATTTGATTAAACATAAATTTAAAAACTGTTAATTTCCAACACTGTTAAAAAATGTTTATCATCTTTTATTTACCATAGCTGCATGAAAATTAGCTACGACGAGATGGTAAAAAGGCCAATGTATGAAATATATTGCAGTAGATATTCCAGAAAGGGTAAGACTTATAAATATCATCACCCAAGATACAGTACAGTAACCCTACTGAAAGGAGTTTGAAAGAGAATATAATTATTATCACTCGAATGGATTCGCTGAAATTCCTTGTTAGCAATGTAGATAGAGATGATTCCAACAGCAATTAAGGCAACTGTAGTAGATGATATAGAAATGAAAAATGGAGCCATAGGATAGTGCGTCCGATAAAAAAAAAACAGAAAACGAGCAGATTTTACGGTATATCTATTCATAATAAATCTTTTTGAAGAGGTTAGGTGGTTCTGAAATATTTTAGTAGTAGTGGTATGTTCTTTCAAGAAGATTTTGTAGATCCAGGTAGTAACCGATGAGAGCAAATAAAGTAAATGATTTATGCAGGTCTGATTACTTGGCGGGTAGTAGTCCACGATTATAGTATAAACATTGAGGATGGAATTGCATTGGAAATTTGGAAAATAAATTTATTAATTATATTATATTATAGACTGACATCGGATTTTTGATACCAATGTAAGATCTATCATACTTTGCTCCCATTGAATTTGTAACATTTTCTAATTCGGCATACTTTAATCCAATCTCATAGCAATAACAGACGAAATTCGTACATGATATTCTGGACACATTTAAAATGGCTATCATAATCCAAATAAAGAGGCGTAATACTTTTTATCTATTTACAAATTCATAAAAAAATATTAAATCGAGACTGTATTCTATAGTAAATACTCTATTGGAAAATTGTACGGACCTTAATTTGATCCCCAACTAAGACAAACTGGATAATTATATCTAGTTAAAATACGAGATTTTTGCAAATACAGTACAGTATATTGGTAATAAAGCAGTTTTATATCAATTCTTATCATGAAAAAAAGTTAATAATGAAAAAAGTTCTATCCAAATTTACATTTCTTTATTGCATAGTAACATCATTTCTGTGTTTTTTATGTCAATCATATAGCATTTGTCGACTAATTTCATTTACCAGCACAGTATATAGCAATGTATATGACATGTAAACGGCCGATTTATCTTAAGACGAGCAGATTTTTGCATCACTACAAATCTCTAGTAACCGTTCGTTGGCTTCGTATTATAGTAAAAATAAAATTAGCCATTAATACTATACTTAGATCGTTTTACATCTAATATGAATCTAGCCTTAATTAATAGTCAGATAGTTAGAATGCAGAATCTAAATTATGTTTCATATTTACTAAAATTAAATCTATAAATGATATTTACGGAGTTAAGGTATATTCTAAATATTTACGTGGGTACTTTTTATTAGCATAGCGAGCTTGCCATTAATTATTTTTGTAGTGTTTACTTCTAAATACGGTATAGTCTATTTTTAGTAAAAGTCAATTTCCACTAGATTGTAGCATAACTCTAAATATGTATAATTTATATTTAACAAAATACTCTGTGGAAATCGCTTTGAATCTAGCTGAATTATATCGTAGCCCTGTCTTAACATAGAAGTAACATATTCTTATTAGTCATTTATGATTTCCTCCTGCTGTGCTTTATACATTATAAAAGCTATCTTCTTTCACCTATCTCGTTAGTTAGTTCTGCTAGTTACACGGTAAGCTTGCACGCTTTACCTATGCTACATTACTATAGCTATTCGACTAGTCACGTCGTTATACACGCTGTAATCTCATACGGTTTTTCCTTTGCACTAATTCCAATAAACTCTATTCCTCTACTAAATTAACTCTGGTAATTTACTGTGATCATGACGAATCCACAATCTTCCGAAAAATCACAATTTTGATTTCGCAAAAATGATCATTGCAATGTATAGAATTTAAGTACATTTCGCTATTTCTAGTTGAAGAGGAGTGAAGGTCAACCAGCTTTCGATACGTCCGACTCTCATTAATTTAAGCTTTTACTTCTGATATTTCATTTTCTAGACTACGTACCGCAAGTACAGCTGATTTAGTACTAAAATAAGCAATCAAACCATGGAAAATATATGTGATGCGATGACAATTGCAGGAATTATCAAGCTTGCCAAATGAAGATTGGTATAGGAATAAGGTTGAACCAAATACGTAAAAAGTATCAAGCCTATGGTGTACAGAGTTGCAAAAATTTAAGGCAAAATATGGCCGATCCTATTTGAAACAGTTCCAAAAGGATTAGAATTTATGATAATCAATTGTTATATAGTTGAACAACGATATTCAATATCCTATAGTTCATTTAAGCTGTGCTGACCAAGATTTGTCTATCCACATAAAGTTTATCAAGTCCAATCGTTGCAGTAGTAAAAGTCTAATCAATAGCAAATACGAGTAAATAGCAACATATTAGTCGAGACTACAACTGCTGAATTACTTCTATTCAGTTTTTAACATATAGTAACAGCAATAAATAGAGTTGAGAAACCCCAAATTTCCTGGTTTAGTAGGCCTAAACTTGATATCCCAATACCACCGGCGAGCAATGCACTAGCTAGCATGCAAATATTGTTAGAATCACTTCTAGGCGAGTATCTTATAGAATGATTAAAAATATCACTAGGATAACGCGATGCTTTTGCTCCAATTAATGCTACAATCAATCCAATAATAGCAATGGCAGTGTAGAGAAGATAAAGGATAGCAAATTGATTGTCTTTCCACAGAAGATCTTTCTTATTGTTGTTAATATATGTCAGGGTTTGTAAAACAAATAGAATGGAAGTGATACAAACTCCTGATGTAATGGTAGCTATTTCCTTGTACCAGGCATCCTATTCCATTAACAAGTGGAGCATTAACTTTATGATAATTTACGATCACATGATTTCTTAATATACTCAAATGTAACTACTAAGTGCTGCGATAAAAATATGAGAACATACAACGTTCAGTTATTCCATTAACTATGGTATAACATCTTACTTTAGTACGTTTACTCTTTAATATTATATAAATGTGAGGTATTACTAAAGCGCAATCTATAACTCACATAACACACCAAAGTAGAGACACACTGAGAGAGAGAGAAGCATTACTAGAGCTAAACTCTACAAGCTATAGTTAAAAAGAATTTTTAGTCCGATTTTAAAAAAAATTGTTAGCAGCGATATACTAACCAATTCGGCAACATTTTTTTGATATGAGATTATTCCAATCACTCCGTTCGATAATAGCTAAAAATAAAGAATAAAAAAGTCTTACGATCGATTGGTTAGTTTGGCAGTTAAACTGACTAGCTGCAATTCTCAACAGATCTTAATCTCGTATCATAATGGTTCGCTTGGTAGTTGAACCTTGGTAGTTACAATGTTTGTAAGATCTACAGCATATTATTAGTTATTGTAGTTATCATATTTGATTGTAGCTTTTGTTAGGAAATAAAATAATTTAACACTTGGGGCTTACTGATGTAGCGTATCAAACCCTAACAGAAAGATCATGAAGCCTATTAGATCTAACTCAAAAATCATATATTTTTAGTTCGATATCGATGTAGATCATTAGGACTACTAGTAAAAATTTAAAAGACGGAATCTGAGACCTAACTAAGCCAGCATCAAAGCACTCTTTCAAAGATCTTTACATCTTCATTTGAAATAGTCATAACTGCTGATTAGATACATATCCAACAAAGATTGAGGACAAATATTACTACCAG